CCGGCAGTAGGAGGGCTGCAGATAAGAGGGTGCCTCCTATTCTAAGGAGGCTACGCTATAAGATAGCATGAATGGTTTGAGATTGACTGGGTATCTATTCTGCACTGCTGTTCCGACCTACTGACTAACTCTCCACTGTCTTTTAGAGCTAAGAATTGAGTTTTCAGCCATCTGTGCCGTAGCGGTTGCCTGGGTGAGAAGCTGGTAGTTCCTCGGCTTCTTTTCCAGAGCCTGTTGACCGTTTCCTACTATTGTATCCCAGAATTATGCTGGGCATCCTGTCTTTCTTACACCCTCGAACCACCCACGGTGTGCCTTCCTCACGGGAATTGAATGACAATTCGGTTGCCGAACCAGCTCGTGTTTGTGGGGATGTATTTCTTAAAGTTGGGGATGTTCGTTATAAGATTTGCTTGTCTGCATAGAGTTGGCAGTAACCAGCCCTGAAAAATCTCCCCCCCCCATAGCAGCTGGTATCTTCCAAGCATCTTCCCTATGTTGTCTTGTAGGCTCACCTTGTGATGCCACCAGTGTCAGCCAGTGAAGAACGTGGCACGTTGTGACATTGCAAATGGCGACAAGGAATGTTGAAGTCCAGAAACATCTGGAGTTCTGCAGGATCTCTGCATTAGATCTCATAAAGAACTTCACACACCATTGCTATTTTCCTGGCTTTATTTAATACAACCTTGTCTTTCACTCGCCGGTCGCAACCTTTGAGGAGGCTTTGTGAAAAGGGATCTGAACTGCAAGAGGGGCGTTATTAATCTCAGTGAGGTTTGCTCAGGAGAACTTGGGTATTGCCTTGAATTTTCTGTCTCGAGCATCAACCTGGATCGTCTTCCATCTCTGCTTAGCTTCTTCCTTCCTGGTTTTGCAATGCTGTTTTTTTTAAATGCTCTGAGCTGTCATTGGCTTGTACAGGATTCTTCTGACTCTGGCTTTTTTAAAGAGGCAAGAGTTTTGAAATAGGCTTGTCAGTCTGAAAAGTAAAAGAATCGGGAACCCACAGCAAGGCCTGTGTGAGTGTGTGTGTGTGCAAGAGGAGCGACATGCATGCACAGCTAAAGAGAATGGCTGTTTTTTCCTCGGCTGTGAATAGGAAACTTGCAGATGGAAGATATTTTTAGCATTGCTTTTCCTGTCTGTGTGTGCAAGCATGTGGATCTTGATCATTCTGCATGCACTGAGTTCTCTAGGTTGTATGCGCTTCTGTATTTGTAGGTCTTCTGTTTCTCTGACCCGTTTGCTTCATCTCAGACAATTTCAGAAAGGTTCGTCTTACAACAGCTGGCCAGTTGCTTTGTTTCTTTTGTCCATAAATCAGCTGACCATTTTAAAAGTAGTGTTCTCCAAAGGAGCTGCATTTTAGGCATTTCATCTGTTTATTTTGCTGTGTCCCTTGGGGAAGTTAACATGATTTGCAGGTGTAACTGAAGGAAAAGAAAGATGGAGGTGGGAGGTTGAGGAAAACAGCAGGCACGCTTTGAATGAATGCATAAAAGCAAATATTCTTTTCTCATTTCAGTGCAGTGTATTCTGGGAAAATTTGGTGTGGCAAGCCCAACATATTACAAGAGCAAATGTCAGGATGAGACATTTTGATTTGGGATGTGGTTGGAATAAAGGAAAAATAAGTGGCCGACAATTCTTCAGAGCGGCTCCAAGCTGTAACTCAATAGCTTTGAGTTATATTTTGCACGTGAAATGCCCTGGGTTCAATCTTGGTATCAGGCCTGCAAAAAATTCCACTCTGGAGCCCTCTTGCCCAACAGCTCCTGAGTTTGCACCTACAACACAGTTGGGCTGGTTTTGTTTTAGTGTGTGAATGTTATTGTTGTGGTTTGTGAGCTGTGTGGCTTGGCGTGGCGTGTGAACCTATCCGATTGTGGCTTTTCCAGCAAACTGTAGTTAAAGAAATCATGGTCTTGCATGAAGCATGAAGCTAGTCCGGGTGGAGAGGATGACGTGGCCCCCGTGTGCGCTGCAGTTGTGCGTGTTTTGACATCCCATTTGCAGAGCAGTGGAATTGGCGAGGCTGGGTTCCCACAACACACTTTAACGGGGTTGCTGGGTTCAGAAATGCATGGCGTCCTAAACTGGCAGACTGGGTTTCCCACCAGCCTAAAGCAGTGTGGTCCAAACTTGGCCACTTTAAGATGAGTGGACTTCAACTCCCAGAATTCCCCAGCCAGCATCACCTCCTTTGGGTGTGGGTGTGTGTTAAAGGGGAAGGGGGTTTGGGGTGTGAACTCAGCCTTCTCCCATGCCCTCTGGGGCGGTGTGGGCCCCGTTGGCATGAGCAGCGAAACACATTGGCAGTTGCGCGAGGCTTTGGGCTGATTTGACGAGCGGCGAGGAAGATGCGTCTGGCTGCAAAGCAGCCCCGAGATCCGGCTGTTCTTTTATTCATCCCTTCGTGCCTCGAACACCGAAGATGGTGGTGGTGGCACATCTCCACTGGCGGAATTCGTTTTATCGGCAGCCGCCTGCTTTGACAGCGGAGCTGGTTAAGCGCCCTCCGTCCGTAAAGCGCCGTGTCGCAGAAACGTCTTTCCTCCAAATCTCTCCGATTTAGTTGAGCTCGGCAGAAACGCCAGCCGGCACGGCGGAGGGCGAGGGATGCGTTGATTTGCTAGTTTTGAAATGCTGCTCCGGGCACCGCCGTCCCCAAGGTAGGGCGTCAGGTACACTGCCACAGCACCTGGAGGGTCACCGGGTTCCCCTCTCCTTCAGGAGGAGAGATTTTCCACTTCAGGCCACATCTTAGCGCATTTCTTGCCTCTACAACGAGTCTCTGCGCACACACGTGCTTTTTTATTTATTGCTTTCCCCTTGCTTTGATTGTCCGTGACGCCAGTCTATATAGGTGGTATCATCTTGGGGAATGTATTCGTAGAGAAAGAAATGCCAGCTCACCTCGCTGTGTTTTTAGTTCAGATTTCTGTTTTCTTCTGGCATTTTTTAAAAGGGGCATTTTTTAAAAGTCCTTTCCTGCCCGTGGCTGATTCCTCACAGAAGCAGAGCATAGGTGGGTCTCTCCGCTCCCCGCCTCCTTGATGCTTTCCACCTTTTCTAGTCCATTTCACAACTGCCTAAGGAGCAGTGAATGAGATCTAGCCAGTTTCACAGTATTTTGGTCAGTTTCAGAAGCCCTGAGAAAAAATTGGAAGTATAATGCACACTTCCAGCAGCACCCACAATTTATTTGTTTGGCGACTGACAGAAAGGATTGCTTGAAGATCTGCTGTGGATATAGTCCGTCTGTCCTCCCTCCCTCCCTTCCTCTTTCTATGTCTGCCCTTCCCTCCCTCCCTCCCTGTCTCTCCTTCCTTCCTTGCTTCTGTGCCCTTCCTTCCTTCCTTCCTTCCTTCCTTCCTTCCTTCCTTCCTCTTTCTATGTCTGTCTCTGTCTCTTCTTCCTTCCTTCTTGGAGCCAGAGTTAGAAAATATCTACGGATAGTGCCGCTGCACAGTAAAACCCCATCTCTCCAGCCTTACGAGGGCTTTCTTCTGCAGTCCCTTCTGCCCCACACACGTTGCAGACGCTGCTTTGTCGAGACCTCTGTGTCTCTGGGATCTATTAAAAGCTCGTCAGGGATCTACTGGGAGGGACTGTTCTTCGTTTTCTGGCACCTGTACTACATCCCAGCCAGGGTGTTGATACCCCCTGACCTTTCCTTTGGGAGTCTTTTGAAGCTGCTTTTCCCCTCGTTCCCCCATCTCGAGGCCTCCATCATTTTTCCCGTATTGCATGGCAAAATAATCTCTCTTTTTTGGGGGCGAGGGGCTGGTGGGAGCTCTGGTGGAGAGGTTTGGCTGCGTGAGCGGAGGGCCTGTTCGTCGTCCCATCGTTTGCCTTAAATTTGATTGGAATTTCAAGAGGGAAGTTGTTTGCTTTCCCTGTTGGATTGCCACTTTGTGGGAAACCTACGTGGGAGGATTTAAAAAAAAAGCAACCACCGATTTGTGCAAACGCGTTGGAGAGAGACAGAGATGAGTGGACCGCAGACAGACTTTTCTAGGTCAAGATACGGTGCGGCTATTCTGTGTAAAGGGTGAGCGCGCTACCTCTGCGGCTTATCAAAGCAGCCCACTTTTCTTAGTTTTCCAGCTGAGCCTGAAAGAGGGTCTAGCGATTATCGTTAAGTCAGTTCTTAAAAAAACCCCAAAACCTTTTTTCCCCCTCCTTTCAGGCTTGCGTGGACGAACGAAAAATTTAGGGCTTCTTTAAGGAAAGGGGCTAGAGTGTTTGGGAGGATTTCTGCCAAATAGTTTTAAAGCCCGCTTAGCTCTAATATCAATGCACAGGACGCAGCAAGAGTGGGTGTGGGTGTGGATTTGCAAGACAGCTGAATGGCATTTGGGAAGAAGGGCCTTTCTGAAGAGTTTGCAAACATTTTTTCCCTTTCCCCGCTTGCTGCAGGTTCCTCTGTGTTCTCGCTAGGTTACGGGTCCCCCGGCAGTCGCCGGATCGGAATAGCTGCTTTTAGGTTCTCATGACGGCGGTGAAATGCTTTTTGTGAACCGGTGCGCCCATCGCTTCTCGCGCTTGCGGGCTCCCACTAGGGAAAGCCTTGCAGCTGGCTTGTGGCTGTCTCTAATTGCGATGATCAGTTGCCATTTGCAAGATGGTTTAGGTCTGGAGCTGGGGTGGTTGGCATTAACCTCCTGACCTGGGATTCTGAGAGACCCCCAGAGGTGTAGCAAAGCATCCCGTGGAAGATTGTGTAAAATATTGGCAAGGGTGGCATCTTTAAGTCAACAGTATTGGGTAACATTATTGCTTATTCCTTCTGTGCCTGCTTTATTTTTCCTCCCTCCACAGCACCATTCCTCTACTGCTTTCTCCCTCTTAAGAGTTCTCAAAATATTTTTGGATGTGTGGATGCTTTTGGATAAAAAAAAGCGTACATTTTTAGGTGCTGCGTTGTTGTCCTTTGAGAGTTCTTCTCTTGGCCGAGTCCTGACCTTTTTTTCTCGTTCCTTCCAATTTTCCAGAATCGGGGGCGCTTGGCAGAGAAGAGAACGATCCCCTTGCCTCCTTCTCGGACTCCGAAAAAGGAGCCGCCTTCTATTTTCTCACACAGCGACAACCCCAAAGAGGTTGAGAAAATCAACGGCCGTCACCCTAATGTCAAACAAGAAGAGGATTTGCATATTAGTATCATGAAAAGGAGGTACGTGAGGGTCCCCTTTTTCCTTGGTCCCCAAAACACAGTTGTGCGAGCCTAGAATGCAGGGGTTGACAGTGGTTGTGTAGCACAAAGCTTCCATGTTTTGGTAGCACCCCAGGTCAGAACTACCGTGATGTCGCAGAATTAAGAAAAATCCGCGTGGCCTGAAATCCATGTTTTTGACCCCGACAGGAATACCAGTTCTTAAATAAGGAGGCATATTCTAAAACATGGGGCTTTTGCCCCCAAGCCAGCAATTAAGAGTTTCGAGGGGGTTGGTGGTGGAGATGTTCCCATTTCAGTCCTTAAAACTAAAAAGATTCAAGTATTTTCTGCACACTTTTTCCTGTCGTCATCAAGCCATTGTACACCCTCCCGTGAGTCTTGGAGAGATCAGAAGGTTGAGTTGTTATTCCTAAATGCTAAAGTGGGGTCCTGCCACCCTGCCCTAGAAGTACCCATAGATTCCAGGTTTCCCTACCGGAAAATCGAAAAGCAGTGCTGGGTACCTGGTTCGGTTCTCTTTGAAAGGATTATTCCATCTTATTGGAGTGACGTTTTCTTCGTTTACAAATACACCGCTCGAGTACGAGTGGGAGTGAAGGGTCTCGTCTTAAAAAATTGCAGAGATGCTACCCCCCAATTTGGTAGAGTTGGGGTAAACCTCATCAAATCGTCTTTCCCAGGTTTTGACGGGCAACGCGGGTAACTCCTGGCTGTGACCCTTCATTGAGATCATGGCTAACGGTGTTTTGGGGCTGAACGGCCAACCATTTTGCAAAAGTGTGGTTCCTCCGTGGTGTGTAATGTCAGAGAAAGAGTGCAAAACCTGGTCGTTCTCTGGCGGGTGTTGAAGTTGGGGGGAGGTTACGGAATGCTCACGAAAATTCTGTTTAATGTGTATCAAAGCGGGTGAAATAGAATGTTCGTGGGGATTCCGTGATCTCCCAAACGTTCTATTTTGGCTGTTGCGACACACGGAATGCCCACAAACATTCCAACTGGGGAGAGCGAAGCAGAGGGCTAACCTTCAAATGTGGGCCACTGCAGAGAAGGAAAAAGTGTTGGAAAACCACAGTACTTACCAAGCAGTCGGGCACTTTGATTTCTCTGAGAAGAAATGCGCGGCTTGCGAGAACGCGTACGTGAAAATGGAACGCGGCAACGTTTTCTTGCCGTCCCTGCTCCCCGGTATGATTACTGTTGGTGTTGATTGTCGGCCCCTTCGGTGTTGCCCCGTGCTCGCTAACCTGTGAAGTTGCTGAGGTTTTGAGACAAGCTGTATAAAAACACAGGAGTGAAATGCAAAAGTGGGTAATTGGTTTTCTTGCTACATTTAAAAAAGTGGCTAAGTTTTTCTGTTCCTGCGTGGGCTGGGGCTCAATGAACAGAAGAGCATGGTCCTTGGGTTAAGGAAGGATGTAGCTCAGGGGTACAGTCCGTGTTTGGTACCCTGAAGGTCCTTGGTTCAATCCTCAGCATCATCACTTATTGCAGGGAAAAGGTTTATCATCTAAAATTTAAATTTAATTTAATTAAATTAAAATTAAATTTTTAAATATTCAATTAAATATTAAAATTTAAAAGCAGCTACTAAAATGATCATGGGTCTCATTGATCAGGCAGATTTTGGGTCTGGTGGGCTTCAGTGGGATAGCAAGAACGAGCTGCTGAAATAGGTGAGACCTGAAATGGTGGATTGTGTCTTTTTGCAACTTGAGGGTGATTCGAATTGGAAGCTGGTCATCAAATCCAACCACACAGTGAAACTTGACTTTGCCCTAGTTCACCGTACGGGCAAAATGAGGCAGACCAGCCTCAGAGAGCAGTTTGTAAAGAATAGCATGATATTCTACATCCTGCTAAGTTGATTTGTAGTTGTGGGGTAGAAGGGGAGGAGTTGCAATCAAAATCCGCTTTCTAAGCAACCGTCTCGCCGTTCTTGCCCCACATCGTTGGCTGCCGTTTCCATATTGTTCTTAAGTATCAACATTTTGTTTGATTTGGGATGGAACCATGCAGGAAAGGGTTTTTTAAAAAATGTACCCCAATTTATTTGCATGTAGGCCTGAAAACAGCGGGTTGGCATCTTGTGACTTACATACTCAAGAAACTGTTTTGCTGAGTTCCTGTGATAGCTCTGGAAAAGCAGCTACGGAATGTCAGTCGACATTACAACACTTGATAGAGAAGGGATGAGTTCGCATGATATGCGAGGTGGCCAATGTAGGAAAGCCATAAAACCCCCATTGCTGTAAGCTTGGGAGGCGTTGCGTATGCTTGTCAGAAAGTTGGCAGTGCTGGCATAGATGCGTGGGTAGACGCCACCAAAAGGGAGGGGAGCTTTGGAGCCAAGAGACAGGAGGTCCAGAGGCAAGGACGTGGGTTTGGCAAGATGAAAGGGAGCAGGGAAGGAGCACTGGAGCGCACCGTCTGCCCAAAGCCAAAAAGCAGATAAAAACAGGAGGCTGCCAGCTCTTTGGGTCCCTGATAAAATCATTACCTGATGTTTGTTATAGTTTCCCTGCCCGAGGTCTGGATGAAGCAACACGTGGCACCGTGCCACTGGCACGTTCGTGTTCTCCTGCAGGCGCGTCCAAAGACAGTAGAACCAGAATTAAAACCATACGAGAAACACGTCTTTGGGGCACCCGGTGAACGGTTTGGAGGGCAGATATTCTTCTCTTCCCTGGGTGCTGGGTGGAATCTCACCCACACTGGCCATCTTTATTGCAGAAGAAGCCAGAGATGTGGGTGAAAGATACAGTGAGATTGATGGGTAGGGTTGAAAAAGGGTCGGGTGCACATTTGAGGTGCTCCAGGGTTCCCCCTTATTTGACAGATGTGCTGGGGGGGATTTCTCTGTGTTTTAGCCATTATCCGTTGCATTGCCCCCCCCATGTCCTTGCTGTTTTGCCTCCAGTGAACGTGGTCACTGCACTGCTCTCCCCCAGGATCTACCTTCTAATAGCAAAATTGCCAGCCTGCACGAAAGCTTTAATGGTGGGCAGTCGTCAGCCTATCAAAACGCATCTCAGAACCCTTAAGTGGAAAGCTATTTTTGATGTCCCCAAAGGCTTGTTGCTTCGCTCTTTAATTGATTGTGGTTCAAAGAAAACAGCCCCCATCGCTACCCACCTCCCTGTTTTATGCCTCAACCCCCTGACCGCTCAGGACGGATTGCACCGTGCTTGTGCGTTGTCTTTCCCGTGGTTTTCGATGAAGCAACACCTTGTTTCCAATTCTCTTTACTCCTGAGTCAGTCAGTGGCCTCTCTTGTTGGTGTGTGTGTGTGTGTGTGTTTAATTACAACTGAACAAAGAAAGAAAAAAGAGCGAAACCATGTATAAAAACAAATTTATATACGGTACCTACAAAATGCTTAAAAAGCAGTTGTGCATGTAATGCATGGAAAAAATGAATCCAGAAAGCCTAGTTGGGCAATACTTTTAATTTAAATAGTTGCAATGAAGTTTGGGTTTTAAATTAGGCAGTGGTACGCAGATGCGCATCTCCGCAAATCTTTTCCTGCCTTTTCTTTGCCCGCGTTGGGGGATGGAAAGGCCCCAAGTGGAGACAAAAGTCTAAAAGTATTAGGAGTCTTTGCCCAACCTCATGTCTTCTAAACATCTGGGGAAGAACTTTGGCGTTTAGCCTAGTTGGACCAACCCTGGTTGACTGTAATTTCCAGAGATTGTATCGCTCCTTGAATGTGGCCGAAGTTTCCAGATCAGTAGATGTTGTCTTAGTAGTGAAGGTCACAGTGGAAGGGTGTGGTTCGGGGAGGGGTTTTTCAGGTTTTTCAGGACTTGGAACCTGTTAAAAAAAAAGTTATGGCCCCCATGATCAAAAGGCAAAGCTGTAGTGATAGAAACTTGGCTGAGTTTGAGCGACCTTCCTTTTCTGGTTGTCTTGTGGAACCCATCAAGTTCTTGCAGAACTTACGATTCTGAGGGCCATGCTTTCAAAACCCCTCGTTGAGGATCCCTGTTTCCTTCCTTCCTTGACATAACCCTTATCCTGTTCTTCAGTCCAGAAGGTTTCCAAAACTGGTATAGTTGGGCTGTGTCTAAAAGGCACAGAAAATAAACCATCTGTTGTTGAAAAGGAAGCGTAGGTGCCTCCTTGTACCTTCGTTTCCCTGTCTTGTGGATCTGATCATCGGGTCCAAGAAAGGGTGAATGAAAGAACTGGGTAAGTCGACAAATTTTTGCAGGGATCCCTGCCACGTCCTTGTTCAGTTCCTGGATTCCTGGGTTCCCCCAGGATGATGTCATTCCATGCCAGGAGGATGATGTCCTGGGTTCCCCCAGCATGATGATGTCGTTTCATGCCAGTCTGTTTTCTCAGTAGACTGTGGTCCTTTCCACCCCTTTCTCCTGCTCTGCCTGTCCCTGGGCTTGGAGGAGGAACACTTGGCCGTGATGGTCAACGGCTCATCTGGGTTGCCTTATTAAACTCCTTGCAGCTGTTCCTAAGAGGAAAGGTTGCTGAGGAGGTTAAAATGGAACGAGAAGCCACATCGCGTGGCTGGAACGTGCCCTGTCTGCCTCTTTCTCTCTTCCGCCCCCTTTTAATTATTAGTAATTTATAAAGGAGACCTCGTTGCCCCTCTGCCCCACCTCCACAATGCAGCGCAGGCAGGCTGATAGCTTGCAAATTATTAGTAATTTGATTTCAATTGAATGAATAACCCGCTAAAGCGAAGCACACATTAGTCTCAGAAATCTAATTGGAGATAACACCATAGAAACTTGGAGAATGCAAAGCGAGGGCTTGGTTGAGCTTTGCAGGAGGGGGAAAGGGGGGTGGGATATGCAAAAATGTGCGTGGGGAAGGAGATAGAAGATAATTGGGATTTAATTTCATTTCTTACCTATTCATTTGTTTAAAGATGGGTGTTTAATTAGCCAGCTCTGCGGAGAGTGGCGATTGCCAAGGTACGAGTGAGTATGTGGGTCTCCTTGGATTTCCCACTGGGTAAAAAAAAATGTGTTTAGATG